TATGCACCCTGCCAGTCTTTAAGTACCTTCCCTACTGTCATACATATATTTAACAAATGCATCAACCACTCCAAAACTATCCCTACTTGCTTTTAACATTTGTCTTGATCCTATCAATTCCAGCTGTTTTACCCCATTTCATTTTAACACTGCATTATGTATCACCCACACTCACAACTGGCACTTCCTCACTCCTAAAGGATGTTATACCTCCCTGGCCAGTGCTTGAAATCACTGCCTCACATTGTTCATCAACATTTAAGAGCTCAAAATATTCTCTCCATCTTTCCAATACCTCCAACTCCCCTCTATTGTTTTTAACTGTCAAATCCATTCGTTTCCTAGTCTTTCTCAGTTTTAATTTAACTGCAAAATTTTTTGACAGACCCTCACCCACTCTAAGCCAAATACATACAGTTGTTTTCATTTTTTGTATTCACTGGTTAACACTAATTACTACATGTTACAATGAAAATATCCTGAATTAAGCACCAGTAATACTGTAAATATATCTTCACAATAAAACATAGTTTATCTTATATCTATTGATTATTTCTGTCATGCAACACTGTGTATATTTATTGCCATAATAGAGGTGTTTCAAATGCATGATATTCCTCAACACATGGCTTGAGGCACAATGGAATACCACACAACTTACAGATATATCATGTATCTGTTCGCTGGCATGGCTTTTTGGTTGTGTTCTGACTTAATAACATCGTTCCTGTTCATTTTTCTTCTTGTCTGTAGCAGGAATAGTATCGGAATTGTGAATCAGGCTTCAGCAGAAATGGGTCAGTTACACTGTCATGGTGGTGACAAGTTGGCTGAGCTTTCACCTGGTATTTTATTATCTGTCTTACGATACATAGATGGAAATCTGTCAGTTTGGGTTTGCATCCTGTTTTCACCAGGAACATATTATGTGCATTTAGCACTGCAACATCCAGTAGATGGAAAAAATCATTTCGTGTACCACTTGGAGCTCCTGACACATTCCACAGAGCCAATTTGCATGTCACATTTATCTACCAAGCACATGTTGGTATTGTAATCAATGACTGCAGGTTCATCTGTTTGTGAGTCAACCCTTCTAGTTTCCTTCATCTGATGCCTATGTATAATCAACAACATTGTTACATCTCTTTTGTCATACCATTGAAATACCATCATGTCATTAGTATGAAACACCTGTAATTCATTACTATCCAGGATTCTTGTGAATGATAGCATATGTTTTCTGTTTCCTCTCACTCTCCCACATATGTCTGTATTGTTCACCTTGCTGAAATCACAAAGAGTAGGGCCTTTTACCTATATATGGTTCCATCATATTCTTCAAACTGCACCAGAGTCCTAACATGCCACATGTATTTTCAATGGCTTGCTGTATAAACAATAATGTCTATCACTATTCCAGTTTCATAATCACATATCACAGATAGTTTGAAAGCAGACTGACGTCATTTGCTTGGTATATATTGCTTGAAAGAAAGTCTTCCTTTGAATAAAATCAAAGACTCATTTATGAAAACATTCTTGAATGGATAAAAGTACTCGCTGAATTTATGTTTCAGATACATAATCACTTCCCATATTTTATAGAGCAAATCATCTCTTTGGGAATTGCCTTTATTGGAGAAATGTAACATACTCGGTAACAACAGAAAGCAATCAATGGGCTTGGTTTTGCTGAAAGCTAGTGTTGTTATAAGTATCTGTCCTTCAATACTGTGATATATTATTCTTATGGATGTGTAGCATCTGCATTAGTGTTCCAGAAAACAGATACATACCTGCAACAATTGTGTCCTGCCATGGTTGAAGCCTTGATTTCGGTGAAGCATAATATTTGGCCACCGTGAACTTGTAATAGTTATTTATTTGAATAACAGTACTTTTCATCAATGTGTCATCAAAGAATAACGAAGTAGTCAAGTTCTGTTGGTCTGTGGGTATACAATATTTGCTGTTGGTGTCATGGCTTGTGATGTTGTCATGGCTTGTGTTGCCACTGGTTTTGTCATGGCTTGTGTTGCCACTGGTTTTGTCATGGCTTGTGTTGCCACTGGTGTTGTCATTGCCCATGTTGCCACTGGTGTTGTCATGGCCCGTGTTGCCACTAGTGTTGTCATGGCTCATGTTGCCACTGGTATTGTCATGGCTGGTGTTATAGCTGGCGGTGTCATCACTGGCTTTTTTGTTGGAATGGCTCGTGCTTTTATCACCACTGTTAGTGCTTTCATGGCTGTTGTCACAGTTGTTATTGGTGCTGCATGTCATTTTCTGATATCAATGAAACAACACAGGAGTGAGAGCCAGACCTAGTGCAATGCTGCACTCTTGTTTGTTTTATAAGAGAATATACTGTGTCACTATGACTGGAATCAGCATTCTCCTCCTTATACATAGTATATTCCTCTCCACTGTCATTGCCCAAATCACTCCAGTCACTATCCAAATCATGAGTAAAAAGCCATTGGCATCCACTTTGTGGGGCAAGATTGGAGATGGATGTCACTGCTATATCTTGGGTTGAACTAGCAGCTCCTTCATTCCTGGTCATACCATTGCTGTCTCTTTCAAAACCAGAAAATGATGCTCCATTATCATCATTGTCCTCAATGTCAGTGTTATTAGAATTAAACATAATTGCCCAGATTTCACTGCGAGAAAGGTTGGATTGTTGACCAGCTGTGGTATGCCTATGTTTCCTGGGTGATATACCTCACAATGTCTCACATACCCACTCAACTTTTTTTTTTTTTTTTTTTTTTTTTTTTTTTCTAGGAGGCACAAGGTAGCTAGTGACACATCACAGCCAAGGCCTAAAATGGCAGCATTCAGCAAACTTTGAGGTCTAGAAAAATTGCGCATACTAGTAAATCGGAGAAAGTTTAAGGGTTTAAAACAGAGTCCAAAACAACATTGTGAGCTTCCAGCCATTAAAGCAATTTTTCCTCTGCTCATTAATCATGTTTCCAGGACTTCTATATAACTCTGGCCCCTCCAGTTTGAATCCATCATCACAAAAATAATCTACTTCTATCCCCCCATTTCTTGGTTAACCCTTTGAGGGTCCATCCTGTAGTTCTATGGCTTTGAAGCCAGGGTCCAAGCCATAGTACTAGGTCATGAGCTCAGCTCACTCATATAAGCTGTGAGTGGTAAATTTGGGCCTACATATGAGAGAATGCATCTATGTGGTAAGTGTTCACCATATAAAACAAATCCTGCCGAATGCAGTACATAATGAGAAAAAAAACTGCGACTGTTTTTGGATTAAAACTGCGACTTTTGTGGTGTATTTTCATATGGTTTTTATGGTTGTATTCGCAGTTTGCTGGACTTGTTTGATAGAATGGAAGATATGTTTCAGAAATTGAGATGATTTTGACTGGTTTTATTACTGAAAATAGCTTGTAATTGAGCTCAAAGTAGCGGAAATGTTCGATTTTTGCCGATGTGCAAGAGTAAGCAAATCACATCACACGTCCAATACACATCAGCTGGTGGGTCTAATGTGAGTTCACAAATGCAATGATATTATTTATACAGTTATTACAATATTGCATAACAGTAAATCTTTTATTTTTTGGTGTGAATAAAAATTCTTTTTGTAAATAAAAAATCAAAGTAGAATTCATCTGTAAAGCCTGGAAATGTAACTAATAAACAAAGGAAATGTTATTTTAGTGCCAGGAATGCCTGCATTGCTTATTTTGGACCCTGTTTTGAATTGGAATATTTTGAACTTTGTGTGAAACTGGCCAAATTACCATTTTTTTATTACTTTATTGGGTGGTTGAAATAACTGATTGGGCGATTTCTTGTGCTCAATAGGTAAAATGGAACACATACTTGCAAAATAGCTAAGAATTTTGTCTAATGGCACAATGTAATTGACCAAAAATAGGACTCAAAGTAGGCAAAATCGCAATACGTAAATATCACTGACACATCAGAAATTTACAACAGCGTAATTTCATAAATTTTTGATCAGATTTTGTACTTTTTGTTTTATTACCTTCAGAAAAAATTCTCAACCATTTCATAAGAAAAAATAAGATTTTTTTTTTTTTTAGTTCTTGGACTCTGTGAGGAATTTTCAGATTGGAGGTCAGGACCCTGAAAAGGTTAATGAACATAACAGTAATTGAAGGTGACTTAGTAAATGCCCAGAAAAAAGACCAGATTGGGGAAATATAGGGTAACCCTATCTCTTTCTTAGAAAAAGAAATACTATTTCTGCCACTTCCGAGGCTTTTTTCAAGCCATTTCCTGTCTGAAACTGATGAAAATCACCTTCATTTTGCTAATGAGACTTTTTGGTCTATCAGTTGGCGCCAAGAAAAAGCCAATAAAACCATGAAGATCAACTTAGAAAGTGCTCCAAAGTCAATATTTTTACTCAAACATATGCTGGAGTTAGCCATTTCCAATTATCCACTGCATAGAGCAAGTTTTTTTTTTTATACAGTATTGTACACACCCACTGCACAGACCCATTCTGTCTTTTGAGGCCCAGGTTTACCACTCTCAACAAATTTGAGGGAGCTCTGAATTATTCGTCAATCTACAACAGCGCCACAAGCCTCAGTCATGTAGATCTATGGATCTATGTGAGAGAGAGAGGAAGAATTAATGTTTTTATATGTAACTTTTTTTTTTTTTTACTAAAAAGCTGACTACCATCTCATTTCAGAGCTATTCTAATGTGTATTTATAGTTTTTTTAATGTTTGTTAAATAAAATAACATTAAAGTGTGACCAGTAAGTTTTTGTATATTGTTTTTCATTTGTTTTTGGTCAAGCTGTTTAATGATTAAGTACAATAAAACTACAGAGTATATTCCGGTCGTTATATTAATTAATGTGGTAGTTCGTAATATATAATGGGATAACTTATGTGGTAAGTAGCGGTTATTGATCGTATTGGTTTTAATAGCCAAATTTGTTTTAATAGTTAATAATTCTTTATTTGTATATTTTCTCAGCAGGTGATGAAGACGCAGATGGACGACGCAAGAGGCGGCTGTAACAGCACTCTGAAGGTTTTGACTGTATGCTTAAACAGTGAAGGAAAATATGGAATAAATTACTATTTTAAAAGAATACAATTGCTCGTAAACAAACAGTGATATCGAGGTACTGTTTGTACTTTATTATACAATGCCTTTTTGCTCTGGTATGCAAGTAAACAGAATCCCTTATCTGAAGTATGAAACTGTGTTACTGTATACATGCTGTAAGTAAAAGACACATACATTCATCAAGATATTTACTAATGTAATGTTTTGCCACTTGTGTTGCAGTGCTTTCTTAGTAACATTAAATATGTTGATCAGTGCATGTTTGTCTTTCACTTATAACTTGTCAGTATTGCCATGCCAGTTATATCTCTGAAGATTCTGTTTAAGTACTGTATTTACTCTCATATAAGATGATTTGAAGTGTGGTCTAAAAATTCTCACTCTCTAATGTGGTTGAAGTAAAAATATATTGCCAAGTATAATGCAGCCTCTTCTCACTTAACGACTTCCTCGTTTACCAACCACTCTGACTTACGACCAGCTGTCCAACCAGTGTGCAAACCTAAATATTGTATATAAGAACTCCTTTCCTCTATTCTGTTTATTACAGTATACAGTAAACTACTGTTTAAACATTCAACATCTTTCCAAAAGATATGAGAAACACAGCTGGAACAAGTGAAGAAGCCTTCAAGAGGAAACTGGACAAGTATCTTTACCCGGTGCCAGATCAACCAGGCTGTGATGGATATATGGGGTAGTGGGCCTCCAGCAGCAACAGCTTGGTTGACCAGGCAAGCATCAGACGAGCCTGGCCCATGGCCAGGCTCAGAGAGTAGAAAAACTCTTGAAACTCTTCAAAGGTAAAGGTATATCAAGGGTACCAGAAATGTTATAAATAGTGCAAAGGTGACATTAAAAAAATATCTAAAGATGGTTGACTCAAACCCACTACCAGTATAGTGTGCTCCTCGCTTAATGATCAATTCGCTTACCGACTTACTCTTAGGAACAGAACCTCATCATTTAGTGAGGAGAGGCTGTACTTGTAAAGTTTTTGATGTGTCTTGGAAGAGCAGATTTTAAAAAATGAAAATAACAGTTTTAAAGACATTTTCTGTATGTAGTCAGTACAGTATATACTTTTATTTATAGTGATCGCTTTGTCGACATATATGCATAAATATTGTCAGTGGCAATAGCAGTAACAGGTGCTGCTAATGTTTTCAGTAACAAAGCTATCATGGTAGTGTGTTGCCAGATATTTCTCTTGAGCCAGGTAGTACAATTTGTTAAGCTACCTTCCCTCCCATATTTGTCTTCAAATGGGATAGCAACTGTTGTGTATAGCCAGCATGTACAGTTATTTGCATAAAGTAAAATGCTGTTTATCTTGGCATTTAGTGAAAAAATAAGTAGGGGTATCTAGCTTCTAGCCTAACTTGTCCTTTAACTCTAGATAATTGATGAGTCCCTCTGTCTTGTCTGTGTTAATTCATTGTTTCACAGTATTTGTTTTTGCTTATTTTTATTTTCCCTAATGTCTTTTTCAAGTAACCAAAGAACCCAAAATGACTGCCAAAATTTAAGGTAACAGTAATTAATTTTTTATCTAGCAACACTGAGCATTCAAACATTAGGGAGTGTGAGCCTGTGTCTTTTTTTTTCTAGAATTGGAAGTCAATAAAAAGGTGTATGATTTTTTTTTTTTTTAACAAGTCGGCCGTCTCCCACCAAGGCAGGGTGACCCAAAAAAGAAAGAAAATCCCCAAAAAGAAAATACTTTCATCATCATTCAACACTTTCACCTCACACATAATCACTGTTTTTGCAGAAGTGCTCAGAACACAACAGCTTAGAAGCATATACCTATAAAGATACACAACATATCCCTCCCAACTGCTAATATCCCGAACTCTTCCTTTAGAGTGCAGGCATTGTACTTCCCATTTCCAGGACTCAAGTCCGGCTATATAAAAATAACCGGTTTCCCTGAATCCCTTCACTAAATATTACCCTGCTCACACTCCAACAGATCGTCAGGTCCCAAATACCATTCGTCTCCATTCACTCCTATCTAACACTCACGCACGCTTGCTGGAAGTCCAAGCCCCTCGCCCACAAAACCTCCTTTACCCCCTCCCTCCAACCTTTTCGAGGATGACCCCTACCCCATCTTCCTTCCCCTACAGATTTATACGCTCTCCATGTCATTCTACTTTGATCCATTCTCTCTAAATGACCAAACCACCTCAACAACCCCTCTTCAGCCCTCTGACTAATACTTTTATTAACTCCACACCTCCTAATTTCCACACTCTGAATTTTGTGCATAATATTTACACCACACATTGCCCTTAGACAGGACATCTCCACTGCCTCCAACCACCTCCTCGCTGCAGCATTTACAACCCAAGCATCACACCCATTTAAGAGTGTTGGTACTACTATACTTTCATACATTCCCTCATGTGTATGAATATGTATTGCATATTAAGATGGAGTTTGTGAAATTCTGAGACTTGTAAAGAAAATAATATTTATGGTGGTACGACAAGAGCTCCCAGCTACTGGTTCTCTCCATTCATTAGTTATTTGCTTATGTCACAATCTTATTACCTGGAGTTTACCTGGAGAGAGTTCCGGGGGTCAACGCCCCCGCGGCCCGGTCTGTGACCAGGCCTCCTGGTGAATCAGAGCCTGATCAACCAGGCTGTTACTGCTGGCTGCACGCAAACCAACGTACGAGCCACAGCCCGGCTGATCAGGAACCGACTTTAGGTGCTTGTCCAGTGCCAGCTTGAAGACTGCCAGGGGTCTGTTGGTAATCCCCCTTATGTATGCTGGGAGGCAGTTGAACAGTCTCGGGCCCCTGACACTTATTGTATGGTCTCTTAACGTGCTAGTGACACCCCTGCTTTTCATTGGGGGATGTTGCATCGTCTGCCAAGTCTTTTGCTTTCGTAGTGAGTGATTTTCGTGTGCAAGTTCGGTACTAGTCCCTCTAGGATTTTCCAGGTGTATATAATCATGTATCTCTCCCGCCTGCGTTCCAGGGAATACAGGTTCAGGAACCTCAAGCGCTCCCAGTAATTGAGGTGTTTTATCTCCGTTATGCGCGCCGTGAAGGTTCTCTGTACATTTTCTAGGTCAGCAATTTCACCTGCCTTGAAAGGTGCTGTTAGTGTGCAGCAATATTCCAGCCTAGATAGAACAAGTGACCTGAAGAGTGTCATCATGGGCTTGGCATCCCTAGTTTTGAAGGTTCTCATTATCCATTCTGTCATTTTTCTAGCAGATGTGATTGATACAATGTTATGGTCCTTGAAGGTGAGATCCTCCGACATGATCACTCCCAGGTCTTTGACGTTGGTGTTTCGCTCTATTTTGTGGCCAGAATTTGTTTTGTACTCTGATGAAGATTTAATTTCCTCGTGTTTACCATATCTGAGTAATTGAAATTTCTCATCGTTGAACTTCATATTGTTTTCTGCAGCCCACTGAAAGATTTGGATTTATTCCTTAACATTGCTGCCACAGTGAAAGATAAATTGTTCAAAAAAGAGTTTTTCTCACTTTTTTGTAAGAAAATATTCTATTCTCTATATTTTCATGATCAATGAACATTGCTTCAGTGTATAGCCCTACTCTTCAATTGATAGGCACTAGTTATCTTAAAACAGCAATTTGACTCTAGGCTCATCTTATGTGCTAACATCTTATATGATTGAAAATACAGTAATACGTATATTTAATCATTTGAGTTTAACTAACTATACAATTAGTAAACCATTTTCAATACTTTTGTTTACTTTAAAACATCCTAACTTTTGCAAATCCTAGTATAAAAATGTAATTTGCTTTTTAGTCCTATAAAACATTTTAACTCATTTTTAAATGTGTGTCTCATCCTAATAAAAATGAAGAAAGTAAACAGAAGGGGACAAGCAGAGTCAACATTAGGACCAACCTATGATTTAATTACATTACAGCAAATTTGTTGAAGTCTAAGACTGAAAGTTAAGAGATCATTATCATCATTAATTGCAGTGTGACTTCACCTATTATAGAAGAGAAACCCATTCTATAATATACAGTCAACTGTCATTTTTTTAAAATGACATCAATCAAAAAAATCATCTAAAATGAACAGAAGAATATATGGGAAAAAATAGTTAACTCTAGCACTCTAATTTTTTTTTTTTAATAGAGCAAATTATCATCTGAGCAGCCTCTTGAGATGATTTCTTCTGAACATTATTTGTTACACTCCTCCATTTTAGGTATCTCAAGATGAAATCCCCCAACAGCAAGATGTTTGGGGAAGGAGTTGGGAGATTTTTCAGAAAGTGGTCAATTTTCAAAAGCTGTTCTGGAATTGCTGGGAAGTTGCATTCAGAGGCTTATATACAATCAAAAAGACAAGGTTTTGATTTTCAATCTTTACTGCCAAAACTTCAACTACGTCACTTGAGGTGTTTAGTAGTTCTGAGCAAATGAGCAAATGCCCCCCCTCCTCACCCCCATTGTTGCCTGTTTAGTCTGTCACACCTGAATAGGTTATAACCTGGAATCTATATTTCATTGTCAAAATGATCCTTTATGCGGGCTTGCGAAAACTGCAAGCATTGCATTTGATTTCGTGAGCAGTCCCTTGATGTAAGGTATTTTGTTGTTTGTTGATGGCTTTAGCCCCTGTATGTTTGCAAAGATAAATGTCGTTATATTGATGGAAATTAGGGGGAATTTGTTTGCTGGCATTATCTGTTGTTCTGGAGTGGAGGCCAAGGACTGCCCCTCTACTCCAGAAGTGTTTTCAGTTGGTGTAGGATTTGTTGCCAGTCTTGTTTCCTGCCTGGCACTAAAAGACGTGTATATATATATATATATATATATATTCTCCATGGGGAAGTGGAACAGAATTCTTCCTCGTAAAGCATGCGTGTTGTAAGAGGCAACGAAAATGCGGGGGCCTAATGGGGTAGTAACTCTGGTCCTGATATATTTTCAACCTGTAAAGGAGAAAAAACTTTCGTTTTTCTTTTGGGCACCCCGCCTCGGTGGGTACGGCCGGTTGTGAAAGAAGAAGAGACTTATATTATGTATACCAGTCTTTGCACCACTGTTTCGGACGTATTTAAGCGTAATTTAGCGGCTTCAAATCATAGCGGGAGAAGTGGTTAGGCTAATGGAGAATGGGTCTGAATGTGGGTGTGCACCCTGTGAAAAAAATCTGGGACTCAGTGGTGCATTGTGGGAACGCAATCTTGGTAGTCCATTTATTCACCATGCCTTGGGGTTAAAGTACCTCACTCTCGGTGGATTTGAGGTCTTGTTCCAAGTATGGACCCGCTTAACGATATCCCAATGCGACCAATAGTAAGTGCTTTGTCGTGTATATTTGGAGTCTGAAATGGATATTATTCACAATTTCCTTTGGGAACAAATTCGGTCAGTACTGGCACCTGAACATACTTCTGGAATGAAAAAATATCGTTAACCGGGGGTCCACTGTATTAGCTCGAACAGCGATGGAAGTGTCAGTGAAAGTGAATTCCATGGTTTTCAAGCAGGTGTGACCGAAAACAGTGCCCAAGATAACGTTATTAGTGATGAAAAACCCAGATGACCCACGACCTTCCACCTCTGGTGCTGGGCCGGCTAGTTCATGTTCACCTGTACCAGGACGAAAGAGGAAACTATTTGCCCGTGTACAAGACTCAGATGTGAGCAGTGAAAGTGATAGTGATAGTGATTTCAAAGCTATTGAAAGCAGTTCTAGTTGTGACAGTAAGGGTGAATATTCCCCAGTGAAGCGGCAGTATATACGATGTGGCATGCGGTCTGGTAGTGTGTCATGTGCTGTTCCAAGGGGAAGGAGTAAATCTCAGAGCACATCCCATGGCCCTACACCACGACCTGATAGTGAAGATGACGATATTGTTACGATGGGTATGAATGATGTGAGTGAGGAAGCAGGTGGTGGTGGTGATAGTGATTGTGGCATGAGTTACGTGGCACCAGCAGCGGGCCACACTACTACCGACGCTGCTGACTCTGCACAACTACAACCAGCCTCACTCAACCCCACACTCCCACAATAACCACAACCACAACCATGTTTCAATATCCAGAACTCACCAGCAGACTGCATCTGGGATTGACAGCAAGGTGACAAGTTTGTTCCCAGTCCCCATGACTTTGATGAAACACAAAGTGGAATACGGCCATCGTGTACACTTGGGAACAATGCTACTGAACTGGAATTCTTTCAGTTTTTCTTCAATGAACCCCTGATGGACATTATTGTCAGGGAAACCAACACATACTATGAGTACACCATGGCAAATACAGTTCTTTCACCAAGATCACGGCTACACCAGTGGAAAGACACAACTGTAGCAGAGATGTACCTGTTCTTTGCCACAATAATGCTTATGCCACATGTGTATAAGCACACTGTCACCACATACTGGTCAACAGAATGCCTGATTTCAACCCCAGGTTTTAGTGACATAGGAGTAAATCGTTTTTTGATACTGTTACGTATGTTACACTTTTCAGAAAAAACAAGGCCTGACAGAAGCGACAGAAATGTGTTTATGTACCTGAAACAAAAGTGTTGCCTGTATTTTTATCCCTTCAGGAAGCTTGTTATTCACGAGTCTTTGATTTTATTCAAAGGAAGATTCTCATTCAGCCAGTACATACCAAACAAGAGGAAACGCTTTGGTACAAAGTTATTTGTACTGTGTGATTGCAAAAGTGGTCTCATTTTGGATATCATTGTGTACACTGGCAGTAATACATTGAGAGATACCAGGAAGTTATTGGGTATCTGGTGATGTGGTTCGAACAATGATGGAACCATATCTTGGTAAGGGGCATATATTATATACTGATAACTAGTACACAACCCCCATACTCAGTGATTTCTTGCGAGTGAACATGACATGCGTGTGTGGCACAGTGCGTGGTAATTGTGAGCATATGCCAAGGTTCAACGCTGGCACTCGCAGAGGTGAGGTGCAGGCCTTTGCTGCTAATGACATCATGGCATTTCGGTGGCATGACAAGCGTGATGTCACCTTCTTGACATCAGTTCACCGAAACGAAATGGCACAAACTGGCAGGCACAATAGAAAGACCAATGAACCCATTCTAAAACCTGTAGCTGTCATGGACTACAACCTCAATATGTGCTTAGTGGACAAATGTGACATGCAGATTGGGTTTGCTGATTGTGTATGCAAGAGTTATAAGTGGTATATAAAACTTTTTTTCCATCTTCTTGATATTTCCATGCTAAATGCTTATATACAAGTTGAGGACCAACAACAAACCAAAATACGGTGAATTTCGTTTGTCAGTAATCAGACAAATAATCGTCCAGTACCAAGGAGCAATGCCCACAGACCAGCGCCCACAAAATTACCAACACATGCCATCTTGTTTGAGGTCTGGTAATCACTACCCCATACAACTGCCTCCTACTGCTTTCAAGAAAAGTGCTCAGAAGAGGTGTTTTGTATGTGGACATACCACAAAAAGCCCACAAACACACAGAGACACTCATTTTATGTGTGAGGAGTGTCAAGTACCACTCTGCATATACCCATGTTTCAAAGAGTTCCACAAGCTGCAGCAGTTCTAGGAAAGTGTTCAGTGACTGTACATATGTATATATATTATGGAGCAATAGTAATAAACAATGTTTTGTATTGTTTGTGTAAACAAGTTTTATACACAATCTAATAGTGATAATGTTTGTTCCGTTATTGTGTTGTAAACAATGAGTGTATATTTGAACAATGCACCTTACTTTGGTCTCACAGGAAAAAACTAAGTGCATTAGAGAATGGAAGAGGTATAGAAGGCAAAGGACCCAGGAAAGAAGGAGATCAGTCGAAGAGCCAGAAACGAATATGCACAGATAAGGAGGGAGGCCGAGCGACAGTACAAAAATGACAGCATCGAAAGCCAAGTCTGACCCGAAACTGCTGTTTAGCCACATTAGGAGAAAGACGACAGTCAAAGACCAGGTGATCAGGCTGAGGAAAGAAGGTGGGGAACTCACAAGAAACGATCAAGAGGTATGCGAGGAGCTCAACAGGAGATTTAAGGAAGTATTCACAGTGGAGACAGGAAGGACTCTGGGAAGATAGGACAGAGGGGGACACCAACAGGGAATAGACCAACAGGTGCTGGACGATATGCACACAACTGAGGAGAAGAAGCTGCTAAGCAACCTTGATACCTCAAAGGCAATGGGAACAGACAACATCTCCCCGTGGGTCCTCAGGAAGGGAGCAGTTATACTGTGTGTGCCATTAATCACAATCTTCAACACATCCCTTGAAACTGAGCAACTACCTGAGGTATGGAAGACCACAAATGTAGTTCCCATTTTCAAAAAGGAGACAGAAAAGAGGCACTAAATTACAGACCAGTGTCACTGACCTGTATAGTATGCAAAGTCATGGAGAAGATTATCAGGAGGAGAGTGGTGGAGCACCTGGAACGGAACAAGATCATAAAAGATAACCAGCACGGATTCATGGAAGGTAAATCCTGTGTCACAAACCTTCTGGAGTTCTATGACAAAGTTACAGAAGTGTGACACAAGAGAGAGTGGGGTGGGTTGATTGCATTTTCTTGGACTGCAAGAAGGCCTTCGACACAGTTTTTCACAAGCGACTAGTGCAGAAACTAGAGGATCAGGTGCGTATAACAGGAAGGGCACTGCAATGGATCAGAGAATATCTGACGGAGGCAACAACGAGTCATGGTACGGGATGAGG